AAAGATCAGTACTTATACTTAGCATAGGAATGGAATTTGGGAGCCCATTTTACATAGAGGGATATTCCCTAAGCCTAGACTACATGAGAGAGCCTAGGCCCTATCACAAAGGATAAGAGAGACTCTTAAGACCCCCACTATGGAAGACCCCACTCGCCCAGGGTAGCAGAAATATTATGGGGGGAGGTAGGAATTTAGAGGGTGCAGGGGAGGAGGGGAGGTAGAGGGAACTGAGATTGACATGTAAAACAATATTGTTTCTAATTTAAATTTAAAAAATGGAGAAAAATGCTAAAAAGTAAAACTACTAATGTGCCAAAATGTATGAGTCAAATACCCAGAAACCTTAAACCTTACCAAAAAGTACAAAAGACTTGTTTTTGTATCCATTTTGGGAACTGCAGCATATGGGCTATATCTAAATATTCATAAATCAACTGGAATGGTATAATGATGCATTTTAATACATATTACTGGACTGAAGCCTTAGTTGAATAATGTGCGGCAATAGAAGTAAGAATAGTTAAAACCAGAGAGAGACTTCTTCTTTCTGCCTAAGTCCAGGAGGATAAATTGTGAGGTGATGATTGGGATTGGTCGGTTTACTATTTATAGTCAGGGAGATGGTGTAGATGATCTCTCACCTTCACAGGGTTCTGTGGAACCATTTTGCATTGGCCATGGACCGATTCTGCAATGTCAGTTCACTCCAGGGCATATAACACTATCCATTCCTCTGGACGGTACATACACATATATGCCCTTCCTGAGGAAAGACATCACACATTCTCCCTCTTCCAAAATTGTTTCCATTTGTTCCTCCTCTGGGAGAAGCAGATTGAAACAGGAAAGAACAATAAAAGGAAGAATCAGAAGATCACATTCAGATCAAAATTGCATTGTACAGCAATCCTATGACCCACAAAATCCCTGCACCTCCTTCAGAGCTGAGGGAGGCCTAAAACTTTGCATATCTGATGAAAGGATCATTGGCATTACCATGGGGAAATGAGTGCCCTGAGTTTCCTTCATCCTCGGGAGAGTAACTAGTTAGTTTCAGCTACCTTGGAGTGGTCTGAACATAATTTAAGAGTGAGGGAGGAATTCTGGCTGAGGACTCACCTATATAAGGTTCACTAAACCAATTTTTCTCTGTCACTGATTGTACTCAGCCATTGAACTTCACTCAGGGGCCTACAAAATTTTGTCATTCCTGTAGATTGCAATCTCACACATAGTTTCTCTCAGGTGTAAGTGTTGACAACTTATTCCTCTTTAAAAGACGACCGCATGCCATCCACTTGTATGAAAAGCAGTATTCAACAGTCAGACACAGCACGAGGAAGACTCAATAGATCACAACCTGATGCTAATAACTTAGAGCAGAAATCCAATGACCCAAAACCTTCTACCTCTGCTTTAACATCTAACTAAAAAGGAAGGCCTAACATCTAACTAAAAAGATGAATGGTACTTTGACATTGTACTTGGAACATCTGGGTGTCTAAACTTTCCATTATTCTCAGAACAGGAACAGATTACTTCCATCTATAATGTCGAAGCCCAAACACAGTCCACATGTGTTGGAGTTTATTTCGATAATTCCTCACCATCAGAGAGGTATCTTGATCCATATTGATCTGGGCCATGTTTTTTCAAGCCCATTGCAGTTCACTGAAGGGCCTATAAAACTATCCATTGCATCAGATTGGACATACAGACATATGTCTTACCAGGATGAAGATATCAATCATTCTCCCACTTAAAAAGTAGGGCCCTGGGGTTCCTGCTCTAGGATAAGGAGACTGAATCATGAAACTACAGCACAAGGAAATCTAAGTAGATCAAAACCAGATTAAAATGGCCTAGAGTTGCAAAACATGAACAATAGACTCCTTGCACTGCCTTAAGAGCCGAGGGAGTCGTAACACAAAACACTTCAGATAAATGGGACACTGATATTATAATGGAGTCACCTGATTCTCCAGACATTACTGAATCCTCAGAAGAGGCCCAGGTTACTTCCAGATCTTCCTGAGGGGCCTTAGATTCCTCATCATTTGTGCAAGAAATTCACGGTGATGCCTCTCCTTCATTGGGTACTCTGGACCAATTTTGCTCTGTCCCTGACTCTGTACAGCTTGTGCCCTTCAACCAAGGACAACAACACCATCAATACCTGTGCACATATGCCATTGCGGGTGGAAGATGACCTCTATAAAAGATGACCAAAGGGACTCCTCTTGTATGAGAAATAGAATTCAACAGGCAGCCTCTGCACTAGGAAGCATGAGTAAATCACATTCTGATGCCAATTACTCAGGCAAGAATTCCAGTGAACAACAATCTCCCAGGAATGCCATTACAGTGCAGGACTCCATGACATTCAATACAAAAGATAAGTGGGACTTTAAAATTCATCTAGATACATCTGTGTCTTCAGAACTTCCCATATTCTCAGAACAGTCACAGGATATTTCACTCTCTACTGGTGGGGAACAAACAGAGTCCATAACTGAGGGAGTTGTGAATGATCCCTCACATTGAGAGGTTCCTCTGGAACCATTTTCCTGTGATGCTGGATAGCTTCTGCTCTTTCATCTCTCTCAAGGGCCTCTAACACTATCCATTTCTTTCTCTTTTTTGCCAATTTAAATAGTTTTATTTAGACATTCCATTTTCCACCATATTAGACATTGCATTTTCCACTTAGGATACAATGCTTATAAAGTGCAATGTTTTATTTCCTCTGTGTACATGTTCCATGTTCAAGTATTGAGAATGCCCAGTAATTTATTGTTAACAGTTTAAATTTAAAAACTGCCATGAAACTTTGCAAATTTGGGTCCTTCAAATGTTTCCCTGTGGAACAATGCTACACCTCTACTTGGACTGACTTAATCCACCTCTTCAATGGTAGGCCCTGAAGAAGCACCACCAGATGGAGGAGCTCCACCACCAGGGAAGCCCCCGGGCATTCCTCCAGGCATGCCACCAGCACTCTGGTACAGCTTGGTAATGATGGGGTTGCAGACTTTCTCCAGTTCTTTCTGCTGGTGTTCAAATTCTTCCTTCTCTGCAGTCTGATTCTTACCCAGCCAACTGATGATTTCATTACACTTGTCTAGAATCTTCTGTTTGTCCTCATCATTGATCCTGCCTTGAAGTTTCTCATCTTCAATTGTTGCTTTCATGTTGAAAGCATAGGACTCCAGTGAATTCTTGGAGGAAACCTTATCTCTCTGCTTCTCATCTTCAGCTTTGTACTTCTCAGCTTCCTGGACCATGCGTTCAATATCCTCCTTGCTCAAGAGGCCCTTGTCGTTGGTGATAGTGATCTTGTTCTCCTTGCCTGTGCTCTTATCTACAGCAGAGACATTGAGGATGCCATTGGCATCAATGTCAAAAGTGACTTCAATCTGAGGAACACCACGGGGTGCTGGAGGGATGCCTGTAAGTTCAAACTTTCCAAGCAGGTTGTTATCCTTGGTCATGGCCCTTTCGCCTTCATAGACCTGAATGAGCACACCAGGCTGATTGTCGGAATAGGTAGTGAAAGTCTGTGTCTGCTTGGTAGGGATGGTGGTATTGCGCTTGATGAGGACAGTCATGACTCCACCAGCAGTTTCAATGCCAAGGGAAAGAGGAGTGACATCCAAGAGCAACAAATCCTGAACATTCTCAGACTTGTCTCCAGATAGAATGGC